ACATCTCATAGTGCCAGAAAGTCAGGAAGTGCTCAAAAACAAAGCAAACATACCACTATGGGATGTGAAAAGGATACAGGACCAATGCAGCCAATGGCCAAAGCTAGAACAATTTGAACAACAAAATAAACAAAGTAGTATTGGATGGAAACCCAACATATAATATATACCCACTGAGTCCATACTGATATAAGCAAATGACTGAATAAGTAAATGACTGAGAGAATAAATCAATCTCCCAAGCGGAAGAATTGAAAATAATTTATGTAGCTAATCCATCTTCAAAGCAGAGGGTACATAAATCCTCACTCCTTAATTGTGGGCTGCACACACTTTTTCCCAAAGGGTAAAATAAGGAAAGAGGTACAAAACAGGAACTACAAAGTGGACAAACACTGCTGTAGCCAGGTGACCAAAGTTAACATCAACAGTGACAGGTCATGTTGATAGTGTGTAACTCTGATAAGGTGTGATAAAAATGGAGCTGTGTGCCGGGTTTCGTTTTCGTGACTAAAAGGCTCAGGGGTCACTCCAGGGAAACTGGGCTGACTGGGCTGCACAAAATAACCACACAAGAGACACAAATACCTTTTTCTTTGGGGTCGCTGTGACGGCTCCTCTGACTTTAAGGGTCCGCAGAAAGAGAGAGAGCAAGAGACAGCACACACACACACACACACACACACACACACACACAAGGGGTCAGGGGGCTGGGTCTATCTTCATGATGTCCACTGTCAGCAGGTTCACTGATACCTGGGTAGACCACACGCAAAGGCACTGAGAAGGGGACACACACAAGGCACTTCCATGGAACATTCTATTCTAAACAGGGCAAGGGGTTATATTACAAAGAAACAGATGAGCGTAGCTCCACCCATGGGGCTGTAGCAAGACACACCCATGCACGAGACACCAGTCCCTGGAACCCAAGAAGGGTGGGGAAAGCTCTGCCACATTTCTGGGACTGAGCGCCTCAGCACCCAGCCAGGAAGTGTGATTCAGTCATGTGCAAGGCTGGTCTCCCACAGCTGTGGTCTCCTCCCCAAGCCCAGAACCCCAGTCTAATCAGGACAAAAACATCAGATGGATCCCAATTAAAGATCACTCCCCAAAATACTGGATCAGTATACACTTGCAAGATTGTCAAAAGTCATCACAAACAAGGAAGTCTGACAAACTGTCACAGCCAAGAGGAACCTACAGTATTGGATGACTCAAAATATGATTGGATAACCCAGACTGGATCCTGGAACAGAAAAAAAATGGTAAAAACAAAATATCTGAAGTTTTGATAATAACTGAGTGTGGGCTTTAATGAATAATTATGTATCAATATTGGATCATTAGTTGTGACAAATTTACCATGGTAATGGAAAACACTAATAATAGGGGAAACTAGGTTTGGAATATATGGGGCTTTGCTAAACTATCTTCATAATTTTTCTGTAAAGCTATTCTAAAATTAAACGTTTAAGAAAAATGCCAATTGTTTGCTGGGCTTGGTGGTGCACACCTGTGATTCCAGCAACTTGGGAGCTGAGGCAAGAAGATTGCAAGTTCCAAAGCCAGCTTCAGCAATTTAGTGAGGCCCAAAGCAACTTAGTGAGACCCTGCCTCAAAATAAAAAATAAAAAGGGGACTGGGGTTGTGGTTCAATGGTAGAAATGCTCCCCTAGCATGGGCGAAGCCTTGGGTTCAATCCTCAGCACCACATAAAAATAAATAAATAAAATAAATGTATTGTGTCCAACTACAACTAAAATAAAAATTATTTAAAAAAATAAAAGGGCTGGGGATGTGGCTCAGTGGTTAAGCACCTCTGGGTTCAATCCCTAGTACCAATAAAAAAATTTTTTTTGTTTGTTTGATGGATAACAATTGATTAGGCCCACAGGAAGGACAGAACACTTCAAAGTTGGACTTTCCAGCCTACAAGAATGGGAGTAGCTATTAATTTCAATGAAGGGTAAAGGTATAAAGAGAAAGAAATGGTTAATAGGTACGTGTATGTGTGTGTGCATGTACCTGTACTGCATGCTAGCTAGCAGTACCTATTAAGGCCAGCTGCACGTAGAGGTAGGGCAGCTAAATGTCTGGGTGACAAAACCCTCCTCCATTCCTGCAACAAGCTTTGCCTTCCATCCACTGAAGCTGGAGGCCAGAGGGCACAGTTAGGGGGCCATTACCTTCTGTTAAGATGGTGCTCCTCACATGAGCAGTATACAAATGATCTCCTATAAAGGGACAGATACTACCATATTTCTCTAAGAATATTCCTGGTGAGCTCAGTTATAGTAACTATAGGTTAAGAAACTAAAGCCTGTCTTAATCTAGGAAGTATTTTTCAGTTGTAAATGATCACTACAGGAGTTGAGTTTATAGGGGTAGGAAAGATATTGCTTTTGAAATGAAAATTCATAATTTAAAAGTTCTCTTATCATTTGCAAAGCTTTGACAAAAATCTCCTTGGATGCTCAGGTTAGAAAGCATAACATTGGTTGTCAAATCAATGAGAGAGAAAATGAAAGGGCACAGTTGTGGGAAGCCCTAGGAATGACAGCTATGCAGGAGGCCCAGGACAGCCACCTTAGAAGAAGGAGGCTTTAGGAGACAGGTCTTCCAGGAAAGAAGTGTAATTGAGAGTGATCTGTTGCCTGGCCTGTGAGGAATCAGTAATAGGTTCACAGCAAAAGAAAGAGAGGCAGTTGTTAATTTCAGAAAAAAAGCAAAACACTGTACAGAAGAGCAAACAAAGGTAATCATGATGTACTGTCTGGCTCAGTAGTGAACAATATTTACATAGTCATAATAATGTAAACACTAAAAATTAATTTAACAAAAATTGTAATGCAACTATTTTAAGATGGGGAGAGTAAAAATGGGAAGATTCTAGGGGCTGGGGTTGAGGCTCAGTGGTAGAGCACTTGCCTAGCATGTGAGACACTGGGTTTGATTCTTAGCACCACCTATAAGTAAAGAAAATAAAGGTCCATTGACAACTGAAAAAAAAATACACATACATATGTTCATATGTATATATATATAAATAAATAAAATGGGAAGATTCTAAAGGTGATACACCTTTATGTAACTTAACAGAAAGCTAATAATGTCTAAAATTAATAAATCAAGAAATAGCTAAAAAAAGAGGAAAATATTGCCTTTGGGGAATAGGACTGAAAATAGAGAAGGGTAAATTGAGAATGTTTTTCATTATAATCCTTCAGTGCCATTAAGACTAATTTTTTCTGGGTCCTGGGGATTGAATCCAGGGCCTCGCACATGTTAAGAATATGTCCTACCATTGAGCTACACCCCTAGCCATTTAGACTTTTTCAAGTTTATATTATATTGCCTACATACGTTGATAATAGCCAAAAGATAATAATACTTTGTTATGGTTTGGATTTGAGGTGTCTCCCAAAAGTTCATGTGTGAGACAATGCAAGAAGGTTCAGAAGAGAAAAATACATAATTGGGTTATGAGAGCCTTCACCTGATCAGTGAATTAATCCATTGATGGGATTAACTGAGTGGTGACTGAAGGCAGGTGAGTTGTGGCTGGAGGAGGTGGGTAATTGGGGGTGTACCTTTGGGTTATATATTTTGTATCTGGAGAGTCTCTCTCTGCTTCTGATCTTCATGTGAGCCAATTCTTCCACCACATCTTTCACCATGTTGTTCTGCCTCACCTCAAGCCCAAGGGAATGGAGCCTGCTGTCTATGTACTGAGACCCCTGAAACTGTGAGCCAGCCCCCAAGTATATTGTTCCTCCTCTACAATTGTGCTGGTCAAGTCTTCTAATCACAGCAGCGGAAAAAGCTGACTAAAACATATCTTCCATCCTATTCCAAGTGAATCTGATCAAATCTGAAGGCAATCACTGTCTACACACACCTTGGATGTAAGTCTGTAGGGCTCAGCAGCATTTGTAATGAGAACACTCCACCATCAGTGACAATGACTCAGTGAAACCCTGAGAATTCGGTATCTGGCAATGGTTCTGAGTTTTCCCCGAATCATCCAAATCCCATGAAATTATAAAAACATACAAATGTAAGATAGGCTCTATTTAGTTTCTCTCTAGGCCTTTTGCCAGATTCCCATCCTAGCTGCCTTGCCTAATGTGAATGTCCTGGCATGCAAATTTGTAGTTACAGTTGGGATTTTAAAGCTCAAACCACCAGGCACCAAGAGTTTATTGAGTGGTTCACACATGCTGTAGAGAACACACTGGCCAGTAATGAGTACAGTCTCTGGCCTCACTGGGCACAAGAGTCCCTAGCATGTTTTTTGAGTCTGGGGTCCCAAGCCTTGCACAAGGACCTATTCAGTCCAGTGTGAACTCATACTGGCTGACCTTTCTGATGAGAACCTGTGTACTTATTTGCCTGTTATGGTTTAGATGTGGTATCGCCCAAAAGCTGTAAGGCAATACAAGAAGGTTTAGAGGAGAAATGATTGGGTTATGAGAGCCTTAACCCAATCAGTGAATTAATTCCCTGTTGGGGATTAATGGAGTAGTAACTGAAGGTGGGTAGGGTGTAGCTGGAGGAGGTGGGCTTTGGGGGTATGTCTTTGGGGTATGTATTTTGTATCTGATAAGTGGAGTTTCTGCTTTCTGATCATCATGGAAGTGGCTTCCCTCCATCATATTCTGCCTCACTTCTAGTGGAGGAATACAGCCAACTGTCTATGGACTCAGACCTCTGAAACCATGAGTCTCCGAATAAACTTTTCCTCCTCTACTATTCTTTTAGTCACAGAAGCAGAAATGTGACTAAAATACTTGCCCTAGGATGTCAAATTCCCTGCAAACTGATTCTTTCTCAAAGAAACATACCTAGGTTCTAAGGTAAAAGTTCTACATTAATTTACTAAATTTTATGGAGTAGAAGGGTGACTTTTCTTATTCCCTTACTTCCCCCCACGCCCCGCTCCAGATTCCTTAAAAATGCTGGAAAAATTCATGAGTGAATTTATAAGGAGACATCAATGGAGAGAAAAACGTTTATTTGCATAATAACAAACTTGAGTGAAGTAAGAAGAGGCATACGAAAACCATATAAAGGTGGAAGAATCTTGGTGGAAGAAGAGAAGAAAGAGAATTGGGGAAAAAAGAGCAGAGGCATTCTCATAGCCACAAATACGCTTGACTGTTGGCATCTGGACTCCGAGCGCTCCTTATGCTCCTTTGGGACTTCTTTCCTTGGCTCTAGTCTCACTGCTGGCCTCCTTTCCTTGGCTCACAGTCCCAAAGTGCTCCCTCCCCCAAATCCAATGGAGGAGTGCTTCTTCGTACCCAATTGTGCTTGGCAGCAACTACTCAGAAGTTTTTACTTGGACTTTTTGCACCTCTTAGTGATTCTGACACCCTTGGACTGCCAGGAGTGGTTCTTCCTGCCACCAGAGGACTCTGGAATTTCTACTAAGGAAGGTCCTGGCCAATCAGTCCAAGAAGGGCCTGGATTCTCTTCCAGGCTGGTGTCTCTGCAGAAATGCTCCTGAGGGTGGAAGGTGCTGCTGCAGCAGGGAATATCATTTGAGTTTTCAGGTCTGTAGTCTGTGGTGAAAGAAAGGAAGGGAAGGAAAATGCAACCCTTTGTTTCTCCCAGGTGCAAGTAGGTCCTTAGGCCCCTCCCTAGCCACTTTCCTTCCAAATCCTTTTTTTTTTTGTACCAGGAATTGAATTCAGGAGCAATTAACCATTGAGCCACAACCCTAGCCCTTCTGTGTATTTTATTTAGAGACAGAGTCTTGCTGAGTTGCCTAGGGCCTCACTCAGTTGCTGAGGCTGGTTTTGAACTCATGATCCTCCTACCTCAGCCTCCCGAGCTGCTGGGATTACAGGCATGCACCACAACACCTGGCCTCTCCTTCAAATCTTAAGGCTCCCAAAACCCCCTCTGGTGGCCTGCTTTCCTCCATCCCCAGGCACCACAAGTTCCCCAGCCCCAACCCAGTTCTTAGACTAGACCATCCCTCCAGCCCACCTATGGCTGAAGCAGAAGGTGAACACTCATCACACTCCCATTTCTTGCTGTTGGATCTAAGAGAGGAGCAGTCCCTATGGGTTCCGTGGGATCCACACGTAGCACACAGAATGAGGCGCCACTTCCTATGGGGAGAGCCAAGGGGGGATGTCGGGACAAACAGACATTAACTGCTTCTCTGGGGGATGTTTGCTATGGACCAGCCTTGGTTATGTTGAGGGCTTTCACTATCCATTTTACTCATCTCAGATGTGTGAATTAGACCACGTGCTGATCCCAGGACCCTGTAGGCAGGCACAACCACTCATAAGGTGGATTTGGAAAGGAATTGGCTCTGAGTGTCTCTCTACTGGGCACAGGAAGAAGCAGACCATGCAGAGAGACTGGACCACTTGCACATAAATGGGTCAGAGCTGGTCAAAATGGGGTTAGCAATTGCATTCACCTGAGGTCTGCAGATAAACGACAACTTCTTGCTCCTAATAACTGTGCCAAGATCTAAGATGACACTGACAAGAGCTCTTTCTAGTCAGGGCCTTTTCCCTACCCTTCGTCCTGAAAGCTGTCTCTGCCTTGTTCGTACAGACAGATGGGGGCATCACAATGCTGATAGCGCTGATACAGTTCTGAGAAAGCCCCTGGCTCGAGTTCCCAGGCAGCATCTCTGCAGTGGGAGAAGAAATAGTGAATAAGGGACACAAAATCAGCTGGTGAAGCCTTTGTCCATCAAAGAGGAACTAAGAAGAAGCCCAAACTTCTCATTTCTTTTATCCCAGTGTGATTTTGAGGCACAGCAAAGGAGTCCAACAGGCTACCTGAACACCTTCAACAAGTGAGTGGCCTGGCTGTGAGAGGGGGCTGACGCAGGGTGACTGGAACATGAGGGTTCCTTAGTTTTGCCCAGGAATTCAAGAACCAACCTCACAGGGACTCCTGATCCCCAAAATGCCCTTTTTTTTTTTTTTCCCAGAAACATCTTCCCATCCATTTTTTCCTTGCCTTTTCTTCTGATAACTGAAAAGCGCTCCTCCCACCTCTGGTATTCACTGTATGTCAGTGTCCAGCTGCTTTCATTCTCTGAACTATCCTCACATTCACCTAGTGTGATTTCTCTAGAAATCCAGGCAACCCATTCCCTGGCTCAATTCCTGCTTTACAGTTTTCTCTACCTGTCTGGTATATGAATTCCCATTCTTAGCATTTCTTGAGGAAACTCTTCTCGATTGTTACACTGAGGACATTTGAAGAAATGTTTTGCTGATGTGTGAGCATATTTCTATAAGAGAAACAGAAGGGCTTTGTGTTGGTAAAAACACTCACCACCTTCTTTTCCACTCTCACCCTCACCCAATGGGGGTATGGGAAAGGAGTTTGGGTAGGTTAGGATGAGGGCTGCAAATCCAGGTGCCAGGCCCGGGATCAAAATGCTTTCAAGAAAGTTTCCAGGCATGCATGCCTCAGCTGTCATCTCTGGTTATAGAGTTTGGCATGCCGACTAGGTAGGGGATACATTTCCTTTTCTTTTATCCCAATGTGATTTTTGAGGTTCTTTGAATTGTTCTGGGATGACTCCATTTGCTCTAGCAATCCCGAGGATTTTGCTCAGTCTAAATCTTTTCATGAATGAGGTCCCACAGGCCAAGGATGACCAGAGACTGGGCTAAGTTTCTGCTCTCTGACTACTAACAACTTTGCACAGAGGCCTTCAGCATGGTGTACTGAAGCTAAGATGTGACTGAGCATTCCCAGGGTGTTCTGGTTCCATGTAGAGAACTAAGGCAACTATGGAAGGTTCCCCCAGGGTAGAGAAAGCCCCACCTGGATGCACTTGCGGTGGTAGATAGCTTGACTACAACACGGGCTCTGGATGTTCTCAGCAATGGCTTGGGATAAGTTTTCACAACACAAGACACAGCTTTCCTCTTCCACATTCACCTGTTGGATGTTCTGTGTTGGCCGATGTTTTCCACAAAATGATCTGTGGCAGGGTAAATAGATTTGGTTTCTGGCTTGTCACTGATGCAGATTCCAGCCGCCTGGCCTAGGAGGACAATCAGTCATCCCGCCTGGTGCCTGGTGAATCTCCACACTCACAGGGAGGAGGAGGAGCAGGGTGAAGAACAGCCACATGCCTTCTCATGGCTGCTTTCCCACTGAGCAAAGCTCCCGGGATTGTCTCCACAGCTTCTCATTCCTGAAATCCCCACTTACTTCAGAGCAGCTGTCTAAGAACCCCAGCTGTTTGTAATTTAAGGAGGGGATGAGAAGCAAGAAGAAACCCCTGTGAAATCTTCAAGTCAATACTCTGTTTCCCATTATTGAAAGGAGGAACAGATTCACTGGTGAATCAAAACAGGCCTATGAGAATCAGATTGTGATTTCATTAGTGCCTAAATAGCAAGTTGCAAAAGAGCAGCCTGAGTTTTCCAATTCCTCACTCACTTGTACTCTCCAAAAAATTGTGAAAGGCAACCCCTTTCTTGGCCACAAGGCAGATGGAAGTTTCGGATGCAGTGATCCTTCTGGCAGTTGATAGCGGCTCCCTTTTTCTTGCACACAAAGCAGATCTGCAAATGAGATCCCAGACAGTGCTCAGTACCCCAAGACAACAGACATGCTGTGGCACATCTGTGAATAACCATTCCTTTCGTTAGTGGTTGTGAAAGGTCCAGGGCCCCTAAAGCTGAGTTTCAAGGGGCACTTTTTTGTTTTGTTTGTTTGTCTTCAGGATGCTGTTCCCTCTTTTCACTTAGAATACTACATCCCAGAGGAAAATGGGGCTCAAGGACTAGGGCTGGGGAGAGAGGTGAGATAGTTCAGTGGCAGAGCACTTCCTTAGCATGTACAAGGCCCTGGGTTTGATCCCTAGCACTGCAAAAACAAAAAGATCAGTTGGGAAATCCAAAAGTCCTTTGACTTCTGACCTAGCAATTAGGGAAAGAACAGAAACAGGGATTCTGAGAGAGGTCTGAGAAAAGGCCTACCACGAGGTCCCTATTGCAGGGGGTTCTAACCTTCCTAGAAGCCCGGGCTGCCTCCTTTTTGATGTCTTCAGGCAGGAATCCATGGAAACCTCTGTTGGATTGGCCCCTCTGAGGCAGCTTGCTAGATAGAATCTGGGGAAGCAGCAAAACAAGGCTGTCAACATTGATGATGAATAACATAGTGCAATGGAGCTAGAATGCCAGGGTAAGAGAGCTAAGGAAAAGAATTTGTTGGATTATATATGTATTTATAGTGCAATTTATTTAATGACATCTTAGGTAGCATTATGTTTGGGTACTCTGAGCACTTTTCAAATATTAACCCATTGGGTACCCTAAAAGCCCTCTTTTCTATAAGGAATAAGTGACTTGTTCAAAGCCCTAGCAGTCTAGAACCTGTACTCTTTGTATCTTTATGCTACACTGCTTTTCATCTTTCCTATTTTGTGCTGAGGACTTTGGAGAAACACTCCCATTTTATGTTCACCATAGTTTCTGTGACCCTTATCTTACAGAGGAGGTCAATGTGGTGCAGTGTAGTGATCAGGCTGGAGTCACATGGTAAGGAGGAACAGAGATGTCATTTACACCTGGGCCCACACTCTTACCCCTCCTGCTGTATTGTCCCTTCAGTACAGAATAAATACCCTTCTTCGAGTATTACAAGAAGATAAACAGGATTTAAAATTTTTTTTGACTACAGTCATTCTGCATTATAGGGGAAGGGAAAGGAATTGTATTTTCTTTTACAAACACCCTTCAAAGGGCCATTTGTTTCTGAAAAACTTCTAAAGCAGTGTCTGGAATAGGAAATCAAAGCAAAAGAAGCTAAACTGATCTATTACATGCATTGGGAGAATGTCAGCACCTCACCTCCACACCAAGAATCTACCAAAAGTATTGGGGAGGGGGCTGGACTTGAAGTATTTAGGAAATGTGTAATGGGAGTTCAGGTTATCTTATTTCTGCATTATAGAAAAGTTTACCCTGCCATGTTAGATGACTCTAGGTCACCTGATTTCAGCTGCATGTTCCCAATTATGCTTAAAACATATATGATATTATATATTATGAGTATTATTATCTCAGGGTTTTAAAATAATAAGAGAGATTTCTGTTTTATTTATAAAGTATTCACATTTTATACAATCATCATGTTATTGCTATAAACAGAAAAATCAATAAATATCATAATCTAAACATCCTTTAATAACAGGGGTTTGTTTTATTACATTTTGGCACACCCATACCATGAAACGCCAAAGAGCTATAAAGAAAAAATTAGGTCTATGTGTTCTATATGTTCTAAGGAATAGAACTTGTTGGATTATATATGTATTTATAGGGCAATTTATTTAATGACATCTTAGGTAGCATTATGTGTTGAGATTAAAAAAAAGATACAAGTTAAAATGTATATACTTGTAATGCACAAAAATTAACCAAGCCCTGATACCTGGGCAGGACTTACAAGAAAGGAAAATAAGATCTATCTTTCTCATGAGCATAAATGTAAAAATCAAACAAAATATTAGCAAATTGAGTTCAGCACTATATAAAGACTATATCATGATCAAGTAGAGTTTAGACCAGCAATGCAAAATTAGTTCAACATTAAATGTTAAAGAATCCAGTTGATGTAACAAACCACATTAACAAATGAGAAAAAAATCAAGATCATCTTAACAGATGCGGAAAAAGCATTTGACAAAATTCAATACATATTCATGATATTCTCTGAAAACAAGGAATAAACGGGAACTTCAAGTTGATAAAAACCACCTACGAAAAACCTACAGTGAACATATTTTAATAATGAAAAACTAGATGCTATTCCATAATATTGAGAACAAGACATGGAAAACCATTCACAGCACCTCTATTGAACATCAGGTTGAAGGTCCTAGCCAGTATAAGAAGAAGAATAAATAAAAGACAAAGATTGAAAAGAAGATACAGAACTGTCTTTATTCACAAAACATGACTATGTACACAGTAAATTCTAAGGCATTTTACAACAAAATAAAGAAAAATAATTACTGAACTAAGTGAATTTAACAAGATTTCAGGATACAAAAATCAACATATAAAAATAGACTGCATTTCTATATTCAGCCACAAACTTTAAATGAAATTTTAAAATGTCACTTACAATAGAATAACCATAAAATATTTAGGAATACATTTAACAAAAGATGTGCAAGACTTTTTCACTACAACTATAAAATGTTGGGGATGTAGCTCATTGGTAGAATGTTTGCCTACATTGTGCAAGCCTTGGGTTCAATCCCAGCCATTGGGTGGGAAAAAAGTCTAAAAAATAAAGAACTATAAAACTTTGCCGATATAAAAATTTAAAAGACCCGAATAAATGGAGAAATATACTGTGTCCATGGAAGAATTTGTTAATTCTCCCCAAAATAATCAAAGTTTGAAGTAACCCTAATTACAATCCCAGAAGTTTCTTGGAAAAGAAAACTAATAAGCTTAATAAAAATTTCATAAAGAAAAGGAAAGGACCTGATAACTAAAACAATATTGGAAAAGACTACAACATTTATAATACTTACTTTCAAGACAAAGCAATAATAATTAAGACAGTGGGGTAGGGTTTAAGTATAGACACACATAGATCAAATGACATAAACATCATCCAAATTCACAATTGACTTTTATAAAGTCACCTAGGTAATTCAATGGGTAGGCAAAGATTTCTTAGGACACACAAAAAGTACTAATCACAGAAGAAAAAAGTAATAAAGAAGAATTCATCAAAATTAAAAACTTGTTCTTCAAAACATGCCATTAAGAAAATGAAAAGGCAAGCCACAGAAGAAAATACAATACAGATATCTGAAAAACAATTTGTATCCAGAATAGATAAACAATTCTTACAACTCAATTATAGGATCAAACAACTGAATTTTAAAAATGGACAAAAATATTGGTATGGATTCTTCACAGAAAATATGAGAATGATCAAGGAGCTCAACATCTTTAGTTATCAGAGAAGTGCAAATTAAAACCATAAGGAGATAGCAATATATATCCAGTAGAATGGTTAAAATGAAAAAGACTGACAATACCAAGTTTTGGCAAGATATCATGCAACTGGAACTCTCATAAATTGCTTGTGGGAGTGCAAACTGGTACAATCACTTTGGAAAATGACTTGGCAACTTCACATGAAGTTAAACATCTATTTAGCATACAACCGGTAATTCCACTCCTAGACATCTGCCTAAGAGAAGTGAAAACACATGTTCACAAAAAAAAGTTGGACATGAATGTTCATAGCAGCTTTATTCACAATAGTTCCCAAATGGAAACAATTCAAATGTACACTAGCAGGTGTACACTGTAACACATTCATATGACAGAATACTACTAGGCAACAACATGGATGGATCTCCAAAACATTGTGTTAGGAAAAAAAGCCATATATGAAAAAGTATAAACATCATGGTTCAAATTATATGAAGTCTGCGCTGGGGTTGTAGCTCAGTGGAGTGTTCACCTTGCATGTGGAGGGCACTGGGTTCGATTCTGAGCACCACATAAAAATAAAATAAAGGCATTGTGTCCATCTACAACTAAGAAGTATTAAAAACATTTATATAAAGTCAGATTATGCAGAAATAATCTATAGATCACAACTGTGATTATCTCTGGTGGAACTATCTAGAAAAGGTCAGGATGATGGAAATGCTGTTTGATTAGGGTGGTGGTTATACAAGGATATACTTTTGTCAATATTCACCAAATTGTACACTTAAAATTGGTTGCATTTTATAGTATGCAAATTTTACCTAACAAAAAAGAATACTGGGAAAAAAATAACTTGAAGGATATCCCAAAGTAATGGAAGTATTTGTCTTTGGAGAGGGCAAGAAAGATTGAGGATATTGTTTTGGGAAGAAGCTTTTAACTGCACATACTTTACAGTGTCAGGATTTTATACCAGGTACATATATTATATTTTTTGGATTAAAAAAAAAAGCCTATTAAGGAAAACAAACAATACTATAAATTTGAGACTGGATGCCAAAATAGTCTGTGTGGGAAATGCCATGACATTCAAAGTAAAGGAGGCTTGTACTCACAAGACAGAAATAATGCACGCTGAGATTGTCTTTCTGAAGGAATTCTCCTAACTTTTCGGGATCCCCAGGTTCTTGAAAGCATAGCCGGCAAACTAGAAGAGTGAATGTTAAGAATTAACTATACAGGCTTGGCTCAAGTTTATCCACAAGAATGGAAGAGAAGTGGGAGCTAACCATATAAGTACAGGAAGGAATACAGATGCTCTTTGACTTATGAAGGGCTTATGTACAGACAAACTCTTCATAAGGTGAAAATATCATTGATCAAAAATATATTTAATACATCTAACCTACCAAACATCTCAGCCTAACAACAAAGCATGCTGTAGAGTGTTGGTGGTTGCCCATCATGGTGTGTGGCTGACAGTGGCTCACTGCCACTGTACAGTGTTTAGTATCATACCATATATACCTAGCTTGAGAAACGATCAAAATTCAAATTTTAAGTACAGTTTCTATTGTGAATGCATATCAGTTTTGCACCACTGTGAAGTCAAAACATTGTAAGTGATACCATGTTAAGTCAGGAATCATCTGTTTTGGGAAGACAGACATTTTGGCAAGGAGGAAGGTTAGAATGAGGTCTTATTCAGTATCATTTAGGATTTGATATAATTTTGGTCACACTGAAAAAGTTGGCTGCAACTACTCCACAATTTTTGGTTTTAAGTGGCTTTACTTGTTTCTTCAACTTTGTACATGAAATTTACAGAGCGTGAGTTATTCAGGCCCTTAGAGAATCTGGGAAGGAAGTAGGGTTGATAGTGAGAGAACCAAGTTTACTGCCCTATACAGGTGGCCTTCTTTGCTGAGGTCTGCAGGCAGCAGCTGAACACAGCCTCATCTTTCTTACCAGGCCCTGAAGATGGTTTCCTCTGGGTTACCTTCCTAGTCCTGGCAGATTTCCTATACAAGAGAAAGAAGTGCAAGAGGCCCTTTGAGGATTGATAACCCTTATAACATTTCCCTTAAATGCCATTCATGTCTGATAAAGAACCAAAATATTTAAAGACTAAAGTATCAACTTATTTTCGTAATTTTTTTTTTTTTTTGTGGTGCTGGGGATTGAACCCAGGGCCTTGTAAATGCGAGGCAAGCACTCTACCAACTGAGCTATCTCCCCAGCCCCTTATTTTGATAATTCTTAAAAGCATAAAATACCCACTAAATTATCTGAGGGTGATAAAACCCCTTTTACTCTTTTATTGCTTACTGTGCCAATACTAAACTGAATTGTAAGGGTATCACCTTCACAAAGCACACTAAAGTGATATCAAAGTTAACTAAGCATTACCCATTGCTAGATACTAACCTTGCCCTTTACTACAGAACAGAACATTCTAAAAAGTGGGTTTGAGTTGGGGTTCAAGTGCTCAGTGGTACAGCACTTGCTAGCATGTGCAAGACCTTAGGGTCTGATCCCCAGCGTGGGTGGGTGGGGAAGGTAGCTGCTATTATTTTGCACATCTTATAGATGAGGCATAAAGAAACGATTCGTCAGGTGCTAAAAACGTACTTTGGAGAAAAGATAGCCTCTTCAACAAATGGTGCTGGGAAAACTGGAAATCCACATGTAACAAAATGAAATTAAACCTCTATCTCTCACCATGCACAAAACTCAACTCAAAGTGGATCAAGGACCTAGGAATTAAACCAGAGACTTTGCACCTAATGGAAGAAAAAGTAGGCCCAAATCTCCATCATGTTGGATTAGGTCCCAACTTTCTTAATAAAACTCCTGTAGTGCAAGAATTAAAACCAAGAATCAATAAATGGGATGGATTCAAACTAAAAAGCTTCTTTTCAGCAAAAGAAATAATCAGTGAAGTGAATAGAGAGCCTACAGAATAGGAGCAAATCTTTACCACAAGCACATCAGATAGAGCACTAATCTCTAGAATATACAAAGCACTCAAAAACTTAACACCAAAACAAACAAACAAACAAAAAAACACCAAAAACAAATAACTCAATCAATAAATGGTCTAAGGAACTGAACAGACACTTCTCAGAAGAGGATATACAATCCATCAATAAACATATGAAAAAATGTTCAACATCTCTAGCAATTAGAAAAATGCAAATCAAAACTACACTAAGATCTCATCTCACTCCAGTCAGAATGGCAGCTATCAAGAATACAAATAACAATAAATGTTGGCGAGGATGTGAACTCATACATTGCTGGTGGGACTGCAAATTAGTGCAGCCAATCTGGAAGCAGTATGGAAATTCCTTGGAAAACTTGGAATGAAATCACCATTTGACCCAACTATCCCAGTCCTCGGTTTATACCAAAGGACTTAAAAACAGCATACTACAGGGACATAGCCATATCAATGTTTATAGCAGCACAATTCACAATAGCGAAATTATGAACCAACCTAGATGCCCTTCAGGAGATAAATGGATAGGGAAACTTTGGTATATACACAAAATGGAACATTACTCAGCATTAAAAGAGAATAAAATCATGGCATTTACAGGTAAATGGATGAAGCTGGAGAATATAATGCTAAGTGAAGCGAGCCAATCCCAAAAAACAAAAGGTCAAAAAGTTTTCTTTGATATGAGGATGCTAGCTCATAATGACGATTGGCGGGGAAGCATGGGAGGAATGGAGGAATTTTACATAGGGCAAAAGGGAGGGAGGGGAAAAGGAGGGGGGCAAGGGGGTAATAACGATGGTGGAATGAATTAGACATCATTACCCTAAGTATAAGACACGAATAGTGTGAAATACTTTGTGTACAATCAATGTCTTGAAAAATTGTGCTCTATATGTGTAATATGAAATGAATTGCGTTCTGCCATCATGTATAACAAATCAGAATAAATTTTAAAAAATTAAAAAAAAAAAAGAAATGATTTGTCTCAGGTAATATAGTAACAAGTGGTAGGGCCAGGACATTAATTTAGGTAGTAAAGTTCTAGAGCCAGAACTTTGCAACTAGGGAATGATTTAGGTAGAAGGGCAGCTTCCTGGGACATTGATATGTGCTTTCACATTGTCCAATCCTACTCCTTGGGACCAGGCCAGGCCAAAGGGAACAAAAAAGTGCAACTCTACAAGTCAATGGACAACTCGCCTATATCACCTACTCTTACCTCAATCTTAGGCGTTCCTTCTTCTTTTCTTTTATAGTCTTCATTCGCTGCTGCCTCTCTCTCCTATCTTGAATTCTTCTATAGTATTATGAAGACAATACAGGCTCTTCCAGCTATAAATATAAATAGGGCTTGGTCAGCAATTTAATCCTACATTTGGTTATCAAGTTCCACAGGATCAAAGCAATAGTGCATTTCACCTCTCAACCCATGTGATGGAATAAAAGGGATGTACCCAGTATCAACAATAATAATAGCTAATAATTATTAAAACTGTGTCAAGAATTGTTCTAGGTACTTTATATATGTTAACACACACACACACACACACACACACATGCATTAGTTACTATTATTATGACCACTTTCAAGATGAGAAGACTAAGACATGAAGAAGTAATTATCTTGTCCAAGGTCAGAGTTAGTGAGAAATAGAGGTGGGATTTCAACCCAAATAGCCAGATTCCAGAGGCCAACATGTTGTACTGCTATCACATAGCAATGTAAGAATTTGGAATCATCGCTTAACCTAGAAAAGTGATTGTTTTCTTTGTGTCTACCAAATGCATGAGTAAAAAAGTCACCTTTTGCACCCAAGTGTGCAATTTGCCCAGTAAAAGCCAGGTGAGGTAGCTCTCTCCTAGAAAAAGGAGCATGTAAGGTTTTGGCTGCATAAAGGCAACAATTCCCTCAAAAAATAACACTGACAGTGACTCAGGAGTCTGAGGGAGAAGGATCGTGAGTTCAAAGTCAGTCTCAGCTATTTAGTGAGGCCCTAAGCAACTTGGTGAGACCCTGTCTCAAAATAAAATATGGACAAAGTGCTCTGGATGTGGCTCAGTGGATAAGCGCCCCTGGGTTCAACCCCTGGTACAAAACAAAACAAAACAAAATAAAACAAAAAACACTGAAAAATCAGCCCCTTAGCTCCTATTACTCCTTTTCACCAGGATCAAATGGCCACTGAGGTTTGGCCTGTTCCTAACCTATGTCTAGATATGAGCAGTGTAAAATACCCTAAAGTGGATGACACCTTGCCACTCCTCTAGCCACCAATGTCAGCAGATTAGAAAGTTTCAAGGTTTTCATTGGTGGTGGGTAAATCCCTGAAAGTGAAGGGGGACAAAAAGAAATCAAATTCACCCCTGTGAAGGAAGGACTGTGTCTAGTCGGAGGATAATATTTCTTAGAAGTAGAGCAGGGTGAATTAGGTCACTCCAGAGACACACTCCAGTCACTCCAATAGGTCATTCCAGTACCCATGGCCTCGGATCAAGGCAGGGGATCATGAATCCCTCCGGGGACTTTCAACTATTCTGCATGAATACCACTCTAAGACAGTAGCTGCTCAGAAGACCAAGGCTAGCCTGCCCGCCTTGTGCTTGCTCCATCTCCTCTTCTAACCCATGAGTTGCAGTTGCAAAAGCTGACATTTGTCGCCTTCTTACTCATCAAAAGCGCTTGGACAGGCTGGAAGAGGAGAGAAAAGAGCGCACGCGCTAAAATTTGCTGTTCCCATAAGGGACCCACTGTAGCTGACATGACTGAGTGGTTCTCAGTTGCTGGGGCTATCCCGATCATCTAGCAATAGAAATAAACCTTGAAACTTCAGTTGTTTGCATCGCTGGACCACGACGTTCCTTGGGTAGGATTCTGTGCACACCGGTAGTTACAAGACGCAACAATCTTCAAAATATTAGAGGAGGGGCGTGGCCAATGCGGGCTTCCACAAGCTGCTCAGTCCGTGATTTCCTAACCCGGCGGTTGCTCCCTCCAAACGCTTACCAAGTTGTTTCACTGTAAAAATGCTGGGCAAATGCTTGCTGAGAAAATGAAAAAATAAATGAACGTGTTCGGCCCCGCCGCCGTCGCAAGATAAGCACTGATTTATTTGGAAAATACGTGTCGGTGTGGCCACAACCGTCCCCGGAGGTAACTGCCGGAGAAGAGGCTCAAGGACCATCCCGCGGGTGCCAGACCAGGCTCATGTCGCGCCTGCCGGGCGGCTGATGCGGGGTCGGGCCGGAGGTGGGCTCCGCTGCTCGCTCCTCACGATAACTCACGGGCCGCTGCTCCCGGCCGGGGCTGCCCACCCAGCTATCGCTGAGGGCGCCGCTGTCCGGGAGCTTTATTCGTTGTCACAAGCCGTGATAGCTACCTCACGGGCGGCCGCCCCGCGCGGTGACTGCACCCCGCGAAGGAGGCGAACGTGCAAACAGGGGTTGGGTCACGCGGACTGTAGCCCACCAAGAAGGCCGTGACGCCGACCGTTGCCAGAGCGCGACCGCTAACGGCCGCGCGCTAACGGCCACTCGCCTGCCCCGCCCCTCCATGCGTGCGCGTCCGTCTCCGAGCGCGCGCCCGCACCCGCACCCGCAGTCGGGCCAGCGGAAGTCGAGCCTAGAGGCGGGGCCGTCGCGCAGTGGTGACGTTTGTTGCCGGCGCGGGCGGGTGACGCGGCGGGGCCCGTTGTCTGTGTGTGGGGCTGAGGGGCCCCGGGGGCGGTGGGGGCTCCCAGCGGGGGCGGCGGTGGGTCGGAAGGGCCTGGACATGGCGTTGAGGGGCCGCCCCGCGGGAAGATGAATAAGGGCTGGCTGGAGCTGGAGAGCGACCCGGGTGAGGAGAGGGCAGGGCGGGCCTCTGGGGTTGGGGAGGTCGGAGGGGGTCGGGACACGGCTGCCTGACCACCACCCCATCCTCTTGTCGCCCTACCCAGGCCTCTTCACCCTCCTGGTGGAAGATTTCGGTAAGTGCCTCCCCCGCCCGCGCTACCCGTGATGTGGGGGCCCATCCCTGAGCCCTCGCCGCAGGGCCAGGGGCTGCCCTTTCCTACCGTTTTCCTTTTCCTGATTGCAGGAGTCAAAGGGGTGCAAGTGGAGGAAATCTATGACCTTCAAAGCAAATGTCAGGGGTGAGTGGCTGGGCCAGTCCTTACACCCAAAGGGCTGGGGACAGGCGGGAACAGTTCGCCTCAAGGGAGGCAGTATCAGGAAATTCAAATTGTAAAATATAATCTACGGAAACTCCCTTCTCCTTGGATGCTCCCCTAATCAAGCTATTTGTTTTCTGTCTTCCCTCAGTGCTTCCCTTTAGGTAGTAGCCCTCCCCCCATCCTTAACCATCCTTGGGGTAACGTTCAGCTGCCTTTTCTGTTCTTGCAACAGGAAGTCCCTTGCAGCAGGAATCCCCAGGTCATACAGTGCCTTTTGTGCAACTGTGTAATTCATTAATATGTTCTTATTTGTACTGTGGCTGTAATTTCTACACAAAGATCTTCCTGTATTGATTGATTGATGTAACAAGGCCCTTCCTAGGTGCCCAAACTCAGGGTCTTGTCCTGTTGATGCTACAGAATAGAGGTAAATAGAGAGACTACTATAGGGACTGAATCATTTTCTGGAAAAGAAGATACTAGTGTGGGTGGCTTTATTGGGGCTTTGCCTTGGGGTCCACATTTAAAAATTAGTGCTTAAATTCATCATCAGGCATAGTATTTGTTCTTGACTTACTTTGTGTTCTGACCTTGTTTCTGGCCTCTTGGTTCCAGCTTTTCTACTCAAAACCATAGATTTCATAAGGAGACTGGGAGGATTCTTGGAGCATCACAGTCAGAGCTTATGTTTGACTGTACTTGTGGCAGGCCTTTGGAGTGTGAGAGCTCAGGGCCATGTTAGATATAGTATCGGGAAGAAGCCAAGGGAGAGGTGGGTTCATGACAGGAGCACTCAAGTTTTGACACGGTGCAAAGAATAGGGGAAGAAAGAGGGGAATGCTGATTTCCTTCTGCTCTTTATTCCCCCAGCCCTGTATATGGATTCATCTTCCTATTCAAATGGATCGAAGAGCGCAGGTCCCGTCGCAAGGTCTCCACCTTGGTGGATGATACGTCCGTGATTGATGACGAAATTGTGAATAACATGTTCTTTGCCCATCAGGTCTGCTGGACTGTGCTTGTTTGGAGGGTGGGATGCTGACATTTTTTTTTTTTTTTTAACTTGGAAAAGGGAAGTAGGAAAGGCAGGAGGAGGAGATAGTCAGATTCCAAGGGTGGTGGCTATAGAACCCCCTTGGCAAAAGAATCTGGCTTTTATTCATTAAAGGGAATATTTTTAGAGTAGGATAGTATCTCAGTCCATTCTCCATGTTTCCAGACACTTGGGGGGTATTGAGTTAGTGCATGTTAAATGAACAAGTGTTGGGTAAAGATGAGGGGAATTGATAAGCATTGTAGTTCAGATATGACTCCCTGTCTTACCCCCTCTTCCCAATGAATATGGTTTGGGGGAGCTTGGGGTGAAGGGTGCTATGTATGAATATTCTTGGTTTCACAGCTGATCCCCAACTCTTGTGCCACTCATGCCTTGCTGAGTGTGCTCCTCAACTGCAGCAACGTGGACCTTGGGCCCACCCTGAGTCGCATGAAGGATTTCACCAAAGGCTTTAGCCCTGAGGTAGGCTGCAGTGCCTTGTATCTGGCCCATTGCTGGCTAGGCAGATTTGATCATCAGGGCCATTAATATTGCTACCACTTGGTATATGTGGTACTATTTAGCTATTTCTTTTTCAGATGGTTGTTAATATTATATTTGACTTGCAACTAATTGTGTAAGGCAGTTGGTTTGTTTTTTTTTTTTTTTGTAGTACTAGGGTTTGAACCTTCAGGTGCTTGGGGCCTAGTGACAGGGGGTGGGATAGATACTGAGAATATCTAACTCTAGCCAGGATTTCACCCTGCACTGCATTGCCTGACCAACTCATGACTCCCTGACTCAATCACACTTCTCTATCTTCCTTTTCATCCTACCACTGAGTTATATTTCCAGCCTGATTTTTTTTTTTTTTTTAATATAAGTGACACCATGCCAAAACCTTCTCTTTTGGTACTTTTGTTCTCCAGTATCTTCTGATTACTGTGCAAGGCCATTACACCCATTTCTTTGGGGAACCCAGAACTCTCCACTATCCCTTTAGGAAAGCTCATCTATGTTGCTTCAGATTCTGGACTGTCTCTGGAGCATTGCCCCTACCCAGGACTCCATTTGAAAAGCTATTCTGATGTGGCCTTATTTTATCCCTCCTAGAGCAAAGGATATGCAATTGGCAATGCCCCAGAATTGGCCAAAGCACATAATAGCCATGCCAGGTATGTGGGAGCTGTGGTAGCTGATGTAGGGTGAGGGTGGGAGAGAGTGTCATCTGTTAGGGCCCTGACACTTTGTCCTTCTCCAGGCCTGAGCCACGTCACCTCCCTGAGAAGCAGAATGGCCTTAGTGCAGTGCGTACCATGGAGGCGTTCCACTTTGTCAGCTATGTGCCTATCACAGGCCGGCTCTTTGAGCTGGATGGGCTGAAGGTCTACCCCATTGACCATGGTAGGCACCCTCATCTAGGGGCCTGTTGAATCTCTGTTTATTTCCTGGGTATCTGGGGCTTAGGACCCTCAGGTGCTTGGGGTCAAGTGGCAGGGGGTGGGGTAGATACTGAGAATATCTAATTCTAGCCAAGATTTCACCCTGCACTGCATTGCCTGACCAGCTCATGACTCCCTGACTCAATCACACTTCTCTATCTTCCTTTCCATCCTTGACCTGCCCAAACTCAGGATTTCCCACCTGCTGATTCCTCGTCTTGGTCTCCCTAGGGCCCTGGGGAGAGGATGAGGAGTGGACAGACAAGGCCCGGAGGGTCATCATGGAGCGTATTGGCCTCGCCACTGCAGGGTAAGGATCCGGAGCCTGATGTGCTATATACTTCTGGAACTGTGCCCTCTTTGAGATTGTAAATCTCAAGGTCATGTAGTAATCTGGCAAGAACAACTTTAGATTCTGGGATTCCAATTTCTAGTCTTGTTTCTTGCCTGTGGCTCGCTCTAGGATGGGCTGGGGGAGAAGCAGGCCTTGGCAGAGCCCTGTTTGGTCCAGATGATAAGTCATTGGAGGATACCAACTCAGGTGTCTGGGGTGCATGGTCAGCCACTGCCCACCTGTTGGGGTTGGGCCTATACCTATGGCTGCAGGTGTGACTGCAGGGAGCCCTGCCAGGATATCTGCCTCAACCTGATGGTGGAGCTGGGGTGGGAGCTGCTCTCACAGCTACGGCTGTGACTGCAGGGAGCCCTACCACGACATCCGCTTCAACCTGATGGCAGTGGTGCCCGACCGCAGGATCAAGTATGAGGCCAGGCTGCATGTGCTGAAGGTGAACCGTCAGACAGTACTGGAGGCCCTGCAGCAGGTAGATGCCCCTCTTCTCTGGCCCTGACCCAGCCCAACTTAATTCTCCTTGCCTTTGGTGCAGTGCAGGATCTGTCTCTGATTCCCAAATCACACTCTATTGTGAATCTGGGCTTGAGCTAACCACTCCTTTCCTTTGCTTTCTTTGTGGAACTTGGGAGGAAAGGGAGAATGGCTTCTTATAGGAGGTTGTGGTTTGGCTTTTATTTTCCTGTGAATGGGTAGAACCAAGGCCATTGTGCTCTCTCAGCTTTTAGCTGACTAGGGTAGAGGCTTGGCTCTGCCCTCCTCTGAGCCTTGGATTCTGTTTTCAGTTGATTAGAGTAACACAGCCAGAGTTGATTCAGACCCACAAGTCTCAAGAGTCACAGCTTCCTGAAGAATCCAAGCCAGCCAGCAGCAAGTCCCCCCTCGTGCTGGAGGCAGGCAGGGCCCCAGCAGTCTCTGAGGGCATCCACACAGGTACTGGGTGGGGAGTGTTTTGGGGCTTCTTTCCTGAGAAGAAGAGTCATCCCTCATAACTTGACCTGGGAGGCCCATACATACCAAGTCTTTCTCTGTAGAAGTACTTGGGCAATTGGCAATGCAGAGTCTTCTACCAGAGGCCTGAAGGCCCAATGCCTGAAGCTCTTTTCACTCAGAACATAGAAGGAGAGTAGTCCTTCCCTAACAGTTATCTGTAAAGGGTTGCCATTACCCCAGGCCCCTGTACCCTCTATAATGTACCCTTCCTTTCTTCTTTTCTCTAGAGGCCTCTTCTTCCTGCCTCCCTCTTTTTTTCCATTTCCTCCTTCTCTCAGTCTTGCTGTGGGACCATGATTTAGAGCTTGCTGACTCCTATTCTGCCAGTTGGCTCAGCTCTTCTCCTCTGGGAAGGGAGGAGAGCAGTGCTATGTTACAAGATTGGGGACACTGTGGGCTTTTCTTGAGGATCTGACTGAAGGTCCTGCCTATACTCCTTGCCCTGTCTCAGACGGTGCAGAGGAGGTGGCTGGTTCATGCCCACAAGCTCCGACCCACAGTCCTCCCAGCAAACCCAAGCTGGTGGTGAAGCCTCCAGGGAGCAGCCTCAATGGGGTTCCCCCCAACCCCACCCCC